TCGGGCTTCAAATCCCTTTTTATCGCCATTGACTAATGAGTTTATACCATCTCCAACTACCATTTAATATCTCCATTTAGATGCCAGTGGACATCTCACATTTAATAAGGCCAAAACAGATCTTGATTTCCACATTTCCCCTGCCCCGATGCTCCTCCCCCAGTATTCCCATCTGAGAAAATAGTTCCACCCAGTTGCTTAAACCAGAAACTGAGGGCTTGTCTTTTACTCCTCCCTAGCCTTTTTCACCACTTGCATGCTGTCCATTGGTCTACCTTCAATGCCCACTACTGTCTCTGTAGCCCTCATCCCTTCCTATCATTGCAGGTCTCATGCAGACACTTCTAACTGGCCTCTCAGTATTCCTCTGGGCTATCCCTCGCACAGCAGCTTGAGGGAAATTTTAAAAACATATCTCAGATCATGTCATGCCCTTGCTTAGAACCACTCTTTTGGTTTCCTACTTCATTTAGAATTTAATCCAAACCACTTAGCCTGGCATACAGGGTCCTCCATGATCTGGCCCCCATCGGCCTCTGAACACATGCTGTGCCCCTCTACCCGTGGCCTGTGCCTAGAGTGGTCTTCCCCAGGCTCTCTGTGGCTAGCTCCTTCTCGTCTCACCCTTGAGAAAGTTTCTTTTCTCAGAGAGGCCTTCACTTGACCTCCCATCATGGAGACCCCTCCAGAGTAGCTCAAGGCAACTCTTTTCTCCTCTTACCTCTTTTGTCCTCTTGGTTGTGCTTACTACTGTCTGAAAATATTCCGTTTGTTTTTCGTCTTTGCATTTGTTGTCTGTGTTGCTCACCTTGAATAGAAGTGCCACAAGACAAGGAGCCTGTCTGTTTCGCACGGTGCTGTGCCCCTCACACCTCGGCACTTCGCTGCTGTGAAGCACCTGGTTAAAGCATGTGAATGATGCAGTAAAAATCTAGTGCTGGGCCGAGCCCATGGCGCACTCAGGAGAGTGTGGCGCTGGGAGCGCAGCAGTGCTCCCGCCGCGGGTTCGGATCCTATATAGGGATGACTGGTGCGCTCACAGCGCTCACTGACTGAGCACGGTGCAGCCGGTCTCAAAAAAAAAGGACAAAAAAAAAAAATCTAGTGCTATTTGTTTAACTTAAATGCTGCTCCTGTGGTCTTAGTGAGGTCGACGAGTAAGAATAAACTAGGTGGGTTTGATGAAAACAGCTCAGAATGCTTTATGTAGCCTGTTTAAATGAGCTTTCCTAAAGAGATTTGCCACAGGTTGTACAGAGATGGGTTGTATCTTTCTAAAGTAGTTTTTAAGACCCTGAGGTTGGGTAAAAAGCCCAATAGTACCAACAACGTCCTCTGCTCCTTTTTATTTTCTTAAATTGGTTACTTACAACTGTATTTTCCACTGTTGGGAAACCCATTCTTAAATATGGAGACCTTCTATATCTCCATGAAAATGGCCAGGACTAATTGTTGAGCCCATCCCTTTGGAGATCCAGTTCAGTAATGGCTAAATTCTCCACCCTCAATTCATAGTGTTCTTTTTACCAACCCTTTAGCTCCCTCCCAGAAGACCATAAAATAGTCTCCATTTTCTAAGTTTGCAGCATTTTTCATTAGCTTTCGATTACAGCTATCCTTTTTCTAATACTAGCGAATATCCCAGTTCCTTTAAAGGAGCTGCAAAGAGGCTTAAGTTATTTACTTAGGAGGCTCCCCCCCAAATGAATCTAATCCAAAAAAATAGGCCCTAGAAACCACATTTTCCCAGGGAGCATGCTTGCTGCTCATGTGCTGCTGTGGAGGGGCAGGCACAGGGGTGGGAGAGGGGTGTGGAGGGGCGAGGCACTGGGGAGGATGCTGACAAATGCTTCCCTTTCTGCTCCATCTCTAGCCACCCTAGATAACTGGGTTGCCATCCACAGAAAAGGCTTGGGAAGCCTTCATGTGACTGCCTACTGTGGCCCCACGTGTATCTAGTGGCAATTGCTAAACTCTTAAGAAAAACAAACGGCTTGTTACTATCAGCTACCACCAAGATGGTTCTGAATACTCTCTTAAGGAGAAATATTCAAGTCCGTGTCAGGATTTCTAATCTGGTTTTATAAAGGTATACAGAAATCATGGGAGTATTTTCTCCTTAGTTTTATGAGCGAAATAGTTGCAATGAAAATTTTCCATGCCCAAAATGTCCAAGTTACTCTGTCCTTCTAAATCAATAACAGGATAGGTTAGGGGCAAGAATCACCAGTGAAGAAGGCCTCAAAGTTCTGCTTTTTGAAAGAGTATTACATCATTGGTTAGTACCTGTAGAAATGTTTAAGGTTTTTATTTATCCTCACTTATCAAGAGACTAATAGAAAGTTTAAAAAGGTAGACTAGCTATCCCCAGTTCTAGCAAATAAATTCATTTAACATGTATCTGTTGTGAATGTCTACTATGATCCCAGTAGTGAACCAGAACCCACAGAGACCAAGGGCAGAGTTCCTTGGGGTGCAGGCCCAGGATTAGGCCTGAGGGACAGTAAGCGGGGGCTGGGGGAGGGGTGCCAGCTTCACAGAAGCAACAAAAGTGGCCACTCTAGGGTCTCCCGTTTCTGGTGTCCCTAGATTTTCTGTGTCAGCAGTTGTCTACTAGGCCAAGAGTTATCACCTCCCACCCCCACAGTCCCATCCCCTGACTCCTTCTATTCATCCTACTGAAGACATGTAAATTCCCATCACACTCCCATGCGCACCTGCAAGAGAGGCTGTGGGTCCAGAAGGCGTTGAAGAGTCTCCATCCGGTGGAGATGTTAAGATGAGGGCACTTCAAGAAGGTCATGGAAAGATTCATATTAGCTTTTAATTCTGTTTTTCCGCAAACGTTTTGAAGAACCCTCACATGAAAAATGTTTCTCTCTATTTTCTTGGGTCCCTGAGGTAGTTTATTCCTAAGGCTGCTCAAGCCCGTCTACCTTCTGAGATGTCCTGTAGCCGCACAGTAAACTCATGTGTCCTTGTCACCCCAAACACTGCCATGCCACGGTTGTTCCCCTGTGCTCAGCTTGGCACAGGGCCGGGTCAGTCAGCCTGGGAAAGGAGTTCCTTTCCAGCCAAGGAAAGGAATGCGCTCCCGCCTGCAGCACCCCTGCCTGCCATCTGAGTCACGCTCTTGAGGCAGCCCACCCCTCCTGGGGAGAACGCTGTGTGGGAAGAGAAGGAAAAAGCTTGTTCCTAGGAGCACCCCACCTGCTCCTCCCTCCCCTGTCCTCCTCCTTGGGAGGGGCTGCCTGCCATTTGCCGGGGTCTCTGTGGAAAGTGGTGGGCACAAAACCACCTGTCCTCAGCCTGCACAGTCGGCAAAAGCCCTATTCACCTGGCCCCTCTCCCCCGCTTCAGACATGCAAATGAAAGAGATAGCTCTTAAATACTTCTGTTCTAATTTCTTTAACAAGATTGTTCATTAGCTTCTGTATTTTAACTCTTATTAGTAACAGAATTACTTACAATGCCACCTTAGAGTTGAGAATTTCAGATACAGGGAAGTGGTTGCCAGCTCTAAAAAATTAAAGCATGAGGGTAATTCAAAATGTCTGTGGAAAAATAGAATTAAAAGATAATACAAATCTTTCCATGAACTTTTTGAGCTACTCTGGTATAAATAAGGGGAAGGGAGGCAAAAAAAACAAAAACAAAAGGAAGTCATAACCTCAGAATGAAATGGTAGTTTGTATCTCAGGAAGAACAGGCAGTCTCTGAAAACTGAGATTTTAGCCTTCTGGTGAAATGGAATGAATTGTTTCTACCTTTCTCGTGTCACTGTTAATCTCTGGAAACCTCATTAAAGCAGTCTTCCGAGGAAAGGTCTTGGAGCATGCTATCGAGACCCTTCGGTTCTCTGTCCTGGGCTTAAGGATGAACTGGGAACTTTTCTTTAAAAACCGGCGTCATCCCAGATCATCCCAAGTATCACACGGGAGGTCAGGGGGCCATCAGACCCTGTCCAAGGTCATCCACAAACATAGAACAACCTAGTGCAAGAATAATGTGCTCGCCCTGACCTCATCTCATACATATGAGAGTCTTCTCTTCCACCTCTGGCTCCAGAGCATCAACACTGACAATAAGGAGAACATGAGGGCTTAGCCTCAGAGTGAATTCATCTCAAAACCTGTTTAAAATAGAACTAAAAAATGTCAGTCTGAGCACAACTTAACAAAAAGCAGCATACGGTCTACGGAGGTGACTTCCTCATTTTCACTCTTGATTTTGGATGTGGGCGCAGGCAGGATGGGAAGGTAAAGCTTTTTACTTCAGCCCTGACACCTGCACCCAGCTTTCCATTTGTCAGTATAATGTTGACAGCTGATTTTCACGATGGAAAAGCTTTCCGATTTATAATCCAACTCCAGCCAAACCATCCATTCCCAGACCTTTTAAAATGATCTTGTAAATTACAGCAGTGAGAAGGGGAGAGCAAGCTGGCTCCCTGTAAACACAGCCACAACCAGGGGGAGACAGCAAGTGTTTCAGGAAGAATTTGTGCTTTCTCCAGTAGCAGATAGGGGAAATACGGACTAAGTACTTTTCATTACTAGCAACTGTAATTGTCAGGAAAATCTGAGGCACTGTGATTTCTTACAGCTGTGTGAGCTGTTTCCACACTGTAAAGTCCACCAAGGGAAAGAAAGGAGATAATTTCATCCTTCCAATAACTACAGATTTATATTGGTAAATCAAGCATAAAATTGATAGTTGAAATGCTTCCAGGAATCTTTGTTTAGAAATATTATTCATCTATATGTTATCTCAGAGTCTAGCTCTGTAACTACTATCTTTCCAGGAGATAAACTGTTCTGTTTGCCAGGTTACTATTACTGTCTTCAGAACACCCTATTTTTGATTGCTTGTTGAGTGCTGTTAGAAATGGCAGGACCATAACCCAGCCCGACAAAACAGTCATTGGGGTTAGATGACGTGATTTAACTGAGACTCTCATTTACCTCTAAATAACTTCCAGTGTTTGTCTTTTAATGCAGGCATCATATCAACGTTTCTTCATGTCCATCCTTTCGGAGCAAATATAGAATATCTTTGGTCATACATGCAGCAGCTGGACTCCAAGGTAAATGATTTTTCTCGAGTGAACTTGCAGTGCTGAAATTTAGCATGTTGATTGCTAGCTGCAGCTGGACTCTGTGTGAGCTGCATTAGGGATATAATAGCGTGTGGAGGTTTATCAGCACTTCTTCCCAAGGACCTCAGTTTGGGAGCTAAAAATAAATAAATACATAAACAAGGGGGGCGGGGAAGAAGACACAACAATCACAATTCCTTGAACTTGTTTTTTTGTGTGTGTGTGTGTGTGTGTGTGTGTGTGTGTCCGGCAACGGACCGCAACCCTCAGTGTCACGCCCGTACCGGACCGGGACCGGCAACGGGATCGCAACCCTCAGTGCTGCGCCCGCCCCTCGCTCAGCCAGTGAGCGGGAACCAGTCTGTATGTGGGATCCGAACCCTCGGCGGGAGCGCCGCTGCGCTCCCAAGCGGCGCACTGTAGCAGTGCGTCACTGGGCCGGCCCTGAATTCCTTGAACTTGTTAAGACAAGTGAACAGATATGATGTTGATGGGCGGGAGGGGGAGAGGGTGGGGGGAGGGAGGAATCGATAACGAGATACGAAAATCAACTACATTGTATATTGATAAAATAAAATAAAAAATAAATTAAAAAATAAAATAAAATAAAATGACAGTGACTTTCAGCAGATGCCAAATTACTTTGAAAACATCGAGAGATTTAAAATTACAGTTTGGCCTGAAAGTTCCTCCAAAACAAGGGAGAAATCAGGTGATTGTGGCTAAGGAGCATTAGCTTTAGGCCATGTCCTCATAAGATTCTATGTTAAGGACTTCACACAATAGAGGAAGACCACTGTGAATAGTCTGAAGATCTCATATGAGTCTCAGTAAACTACTATTGGCTGTTTTGTAGCACTATTCTCTAAATGGAAAAAACGACTGCAAAGTCATTCTCAGCAGGGCCCCTCAAGGGTCACACCCAGAGTCAGGCGTCATTCCTCCTTTCTCTGAAGCTCAGTTTCTCGCATCTGCATATTAACTGTACTCCTAGCCCACTGCAGTATTTGTGTGCCAAAAGAGAAGGGGAAAAAACAGTTCTGTTTATGTGTCAAGTTCAAGTGAACAGTGAGAGGGGCCCCTCTTTAAATGAAATGAAGTTACTAACCAGTACTGCCCAGGGAAGCCCGGGAAGGAGATGGACACAGAAGCAGAACAGAGAAGTCACTGAGTAACCTGTTAAATTTCCTGCTGTGGAGGAAAATGGAAATATGTGAGAAGCTGCTCCACACGGCACAGCAACGTACGTGGCCTTTGTACAACCAGACCTAGAGCCGGCAGTTCTATGACCCCGAATAGACACATGTAACTAGATGTTCAGTGGTTAGCATGGAGTAAGTTACTATATCATGTTCTTATTTTGATTCAAATGATCTAACCAATACATGATTCCACACCTGCTTGACCTTTTAAATGGATCTAATACTTCCCTTTTGAGAGAAATCATCTGGGACAAGTATTTCACTCACCAGGATTCATGCCTTTTTATGACAGGGTAAGACCAAAACAGGGCGAAAGGAGCTAGATTATGAAATTCTTGAAGTCGGAATCATATTACTGTTTTCCCTGTGGCCTCCCCTCGCATGGATAGGGAGGTAATAGGAAACGCTCACGTTCACCTCAGATGAGACGGGAAGGATGTGCTGTAGGATGTGACTTTGCTGTAGTAAAGAGCTGAAGGGCCTCTGTTGTTGGTTCCCCCTCACTGGGATCCTTCTTCCTTCGTCGGGATCCTTCTTCCTTAACGCCGCTGCCATTTTCACCCAGAGGATGGAGTGGGCCACTGCCTGTGCCGGTGCGCTTGCCAGAGAAGAAGCCCTCGAGAATGAAGCCTACTGTTGCTGCTGCCCTTCCCTCTATTGCTGACATGTCTTTTCTCCTCTTTCTGGAAATCCCAGTTGGATGAGAAGCAGTTGTTGTTTCAGTATGAGCTGAGATGGCTGAAGAATCCGTTTGTAATTTATCTAAGGATTTCAGGACTCATGTCTCCTCTGCTCCACCACTGCAGGTGGATGATCTGTGAGGATCGTCTATGAAGTGTGTGTGTGTGTGTGTGTGTGTGTGTGTGTGTGTGTGTGTGTGTGTGTGTGTAAACTCACCTGGGGCGGGGGGGGACTGATGAATGAGGAATTGAAGCTGTTCCATTCTTACCCTCAGGACAGAGCTCAGGTGAGATTTGTGTCTTTCCCTCCTTAGTCTCTGTGGAAAGAGAATTCACATGCCTGGTCCATGGCCATTGGACAATAGGTCTTTCCAGAAGGTATTCAGTCAAGGGAATTCCATCTCTTTGCAGACTGGTACTTTTATTTTAGAAGATGAAAAGGCAGTATCTCCCTCACAGAGGACCCCCCCCCCAAGACAGCCCTCCATCTCCTTGACGAAATGCCCAGTAGAGCTGTCATGTTTTTTCAACATACTTGGGGTAAAAAATATCGAAAAAGTACTCTGACTAAAACTGCTGGGTGCCAGAGATTGAACCACATATTCTTTCTATCCCAGTGAGCCTGAGAGGATAGTTAAACTTTTTAATTCAGGGAGCAAATTATTACTGTAGACAGGAATGCCATATCCTTGGGGCTTTAAGCAGAAAACAAAATAATGAGAGGTTTGCCCTCTAAGTATCCACCAGGGCCTTGTCCCTGCATCAGCTGCCAAAAGACTCGTAATCCTGGAGCGGGCACCAGCCTGTCATGCCAATGTTCTCCAGTGCAGGGGCTGCTACACCTGCCCCCGTTAATCAGAATGAACTGCGGGTCATGGCTCCTCCCCCACCCCCGCAAGGCTTTTTGGCTCATGTTGCATTAAGGCGATGGATTCTGTACTGCAGCCACAACATGGAGTTTGCTCACTCTAATAGGATGGCTTTTTAAAAACTCCGCTTAGAACAACACTTTCCTTGCGATTAGACAGCATCACCATTACTGCAATTGTGAGATAACATCAAGATTCTGCCCACCTGCTACTGATGAGCGCAAGGACAGAAGGCTCAGCCCAGCCCTGTAATGTAGCTGTTTTTATTAGGATTTCCCTGAAGGCCACATATGGGTATAAAAATGACTAGAACTGAAGGAGAAACAGGAATTAATTTAAATTATGCTGGGCATGTAAATTGCACATGGCTCCCTAAGACCATTTAGCCCAGTAATAAGCCATTTTCTATTTAAATATTATTCCTACTCTTGGGAATGATATTTACATATTTTTCTGTTCTTGGTTTTTTTCTAAACCACCCTCACTCACCCAGCTCACGTGTATCAGAACATGTGACAAAATCAGACTCATTCAGAAAAAGACAGGGTGTGGGGTGGGGGGCTGGGCAATGGCTTCCTGAAGCTTTACTGAGTCAGAAGTCAGTCGTGATCTGGCCACAGGCAGGTAAGCTCTTCAAAACAGATAACACTGTCTTGAAAATGGCTTCTGATCAATACATAGACTCCTCAGCCCCGGAGCCCATCAAGTGTGCCCCCAGTGCTGATTCTAAGCAGCACAGACGACACATTTCAGCTGAGCATTAGCAGATGGATACTTCCTGTCACAGTCAAGAGGGGGGGTTCCTCTGCTCTTCCCCAGTACATGTACTCTTCAGATGAAGACTCAGTTCTCCAAGTGTGTCTGGCTGCCCCCTCTACATGCTTGCAGCTTCTTCCCGAGGCCCTCAGAGTAGAAGATTTGGTTCTGAAAACCAGATGACATAATGCAGCCAAAAATGCTGAAAGACCTAGAAAGACCTGCCATTGTGGCTGGACACCACTGTTTGGTGACCAGCTTGGATGTTTATGGACATGTGTGCATTTTCCACCAGAAGGGCAAATCATTTGCATTTCTGTACTAAAAGTATACCTCTAGAAACACGAAATATCTTGCCAGTTCAAAGGAGATTCAGATCTTGCTTTAACTGGACAGCATTCTTTCCCAGACCGTAGCTGGGTGATGAGGATGGGTGAGATGTTCTCAGGAGTCTTTGTAAGTTTGCCAGCCTGATTATTTGATATTATGCATACTCTGGTGTTCTCCTTAACAGCCACCAGTCATGCTATGTTAATGAGTAACAACTTAGACAGCCTATACTGTGTTTAGATATCATAGCACCTCTGGAAAGCACAGGACAGTGGGGGTAACACTATTGTCCCCTTGACTACATAAAGAACAGAGGGGAGTTGCTCACCCACAGCGAGAGGAGTTGATAAGGTGACCAGAGACGCAGTGGATGCTGGGATAACTCACTGCTTTTCGTGTGCCTAGCCCTGTCCTGGCAGCCAGAGAAGAGCCAAGGATGGCCAGGGCACAAAAATCTACAATAGAACAAGCTTGCGGTCTAGTGGAGGAAATGGTATAATATTTATGAAATAACTTGAGAATCAGACATGAACTAATAAAGTGCTAAGTTAAGGCTGGCCAGTTAGCTCAGTTGGTTAGAGCACAGCCTTATGACACCGAGGTCATGGGTTTGGGTCCCCACACTGGCCAGCAGCCTTTCCCCTGTCCAAACAAAGTGCTAAATTGGGCAGAGCATATGTTTAGTGAAATAGGAGTTAGAAGGGAGAAAGCCGTGAGCGTGTCACGATGAGCAATGAGGCAGCCCTGAGTCCACGCTGACTCTAGTGTCCCCTCTGGGAAGCTCTAGCTAAGTGCCACCTTTCTTCCCTTTCTCCTTCCTTCCCTCGCTTCCTTGCAGATCCTTTTCTCCTTTTAATCCTATTTTTCTTCTTCCTTTTCTTTTCCTCCTCCCACCTCCCTTCCTCATCCAGTTTCTACCTTTGCTCTTTTTAACTCATTCTGTCTCTCATCTTTCCTCTTCTTCCTCCCTCCCCTCCCTTCATGCCCCATCTACATTCTGTGTTTCTCTCTTAAGTCTTCACTGCAAGGTGTGTGTGCTGACACCAGGCTCTGCCCAGGGATAGGAAGGATGAAGGAGATTTAAATGTGCACTGAAGGCCGAAGGCCAGTTCATCCTGTGCAAGGAAATCTGGTTTTGCATTGGGCTTCCCTGGCTCTCCAGTCTTGACACAGCCTCTGCTCACATCTTCTCAGTGCCCCAAACAAGAGCCCAGCTTCACTCAGCTTCCCTGCCTGATATGGGATACAGGGCCAACCTTCCCCATAATAAAATTGATTTACGTCTGCACATGTCCATTGGTACATGTGCTTAAAGACCTGGCTGGGAGGCAGTGGGCTTGGGCTAGAGTCAGCAAATCGGAAAATAACTCAAGCACATCTAAATTTACCTGTGCAGTATTAACACCACACAGCCCCCTTGGTTACATGAAGCCTTTCTTTTAAATCATTTTTCTTCTTTTTTAGTTATAGCAAATCAATTCTTCCTAAAAAGAATAAATGTTAGACTTAGAAAATTTTAAATAAAATGGGGTGGGAGAATCTATTGACATTAAAGGTTGAAAAAAGAAATAGGGTAGCTCAGTTGGTTAGAGCGTAGTGCTGATGACCCCAAAGCCCAGGGTTTGATCCCTGTACCGGCCAACAAAAAAAAAACCAGACTAATTTCTTGGAACAAAAGCCAGCTGTGTAAGAAGAGGGTAATAGGGTAATAAAAGCATCAGGTTTATGACAATATTCCCCACTTCCCAGAGCACCAAATATATGGTGTTGGGGTGGGAGAATCTATTGACATTAAAGGTTGAAAAAAGAAATAGGGTAGCTCAGTTGGTTAGAGCATAGTGCTGATGACCCCAAAGCCCAGGGTTTGGTCCCTGTACCGGCCAACAAAAAAAAAACCAGACTAATTTCTTGGAACAAAAGCCAGCTGTGTAAGAAGAGGGTAATAGGATAATAAAAGCATCAGGTTTATGACAATATTCCCCACTTCCCAGAGCACCAAATATATGGTGTATGGGAAAATGAGATTTCATAGTCACAGCACCCTTCCCTAACCTACATCATAATGCCTTACAGAGTTCTCTTAACCACATGTATTTGATTCTGCTCATAATATGCTTATGGGAGCGGGAACACATTGCCCTGAGAGCGGGGTTGGATTTGGCGTCAGAAGCCCTCCTCTGAGTTTTAGCCCCTCCACTCACCAGCTGGGCAAGCAACAGCCCCACCCTGCACCCCAGGCTCCATCTATGAAAACCAGGAGCTTGGAGAGAATCCCTGACCACAGAAGTGATTCAGGAAAGGGAATCCTGCACAAGAGGAGGAAATGGGTAAATTTCACTCAGAGCTTGGCCAGTGAGGTCTGGCTGATTTGTTTTATATGATAACTCCATGACTCTTCCAGTTCTCAATACCAAAAAAGGATATTGTGAAGGTAAGTTACGAGAGCTGACAAATTACAAGGAGAAGAAAACAGACTTAAAGTAAATGAAGATATTTGTAAAGTAAAAATTCTTTGGCCATAGGGTAAAAGAGACAAATTATATTTTCTCTTGAATTTCTCTTGAAAAAATCCCAAAATGTAATATGTCATAAAGGCTCTTTTGTCAGGGTGGAGTATAGGTTTAAAAACCAAACTAACCTTAAAGTAGTTTCTCCTTGATCTTTCTTCTGGCATGAGATATAAATGTCTTTAAGGAAATTTTCTAAAGTTTAGCTGAGAGCTTTATTAGGTGGGTATTTTAGATAGGATTTCATTGGAAGTGGTCTGTTCCATAATTATGATACGTCTCTGTGCGCGTTATTTACATCTTTATGGCAGAATCAGGCTTTTACCTTATACTACTAACAGAAACAAAGTTAACTATATTAGAGGAAATTAATTTCTGTTATACTAATTTCTGGCTTTATCAAAATCTGAAGTATGGCTTGCGCGTTATTTACATCTTTATGGCAGAATCAGGCTTTTACCTTATACTACTAATAGAAACAAAGTTAACTACATTAGAGGAAATTAATTTCTGTTATACTAATTTCTGGCTTTATCAAAATCTGAAGTATGGCTAATTGGCTAACCAAATGAAGTAATCATGAGACTTTCAAATCCCAGTTTCACTACTTCTTAGCTGTGTGGCATTGGGCAACTTATTGTTAAATAATGCATCTCTGTGCCTCATTTTCACCATCTGTAAAATGGGTTATGTGTTATTGTGTGTATTAAATGACTGAATATATAGAAAGCATTCAGAACAGTATTAGGCACACCATAAGTGCTACTTAAGTGTTGGTTGCCATTTGTTTTGTGCTTTAGATTGCATAAAAGACTTATCACATCCATTCTGAGATCTTTGCCACAATCTAGTGGACAGATAAATTTTGAATGGCTCAACATAAGACTGGCACTAGAAAAATGGAGGGGCCAGCACTCAGACCAAGTCCGCAGCACATTCAATTCCCTTGTCTTGAAAATAAGATGGACCTAGTAAGGGACTGGAAATGTAACTGGTCATTTAACTGGAAGCTGGTCGTTACATGCAAATCTTTTGTGTCTACATTTTTTTCCAGCAAGTGAGGGGTGTGCTTTTCTAGAGAGCTTTCTAACAAGACTATGTGGATGAAGCTCTTATTCTGTGCCTGTCCCCGCAGTGAGGACTCAGTTGGTGGCAGCTACCTCTCTCCTGCTGCAAGTCACCTTCTGCTTCCTTTGTGATTGAAGTTGAGGCTCAGGTCAAAAGACAGTGGAAAGCAAGATGCTGCTACATTGCAGTGCATGCTAGCCAAGACCCCCCACGATTTGTTTGCTGCTTTGGTGAATGGTTCATGTGGGGTGCTCAAGCATCAGCCTATGAGTGTGTAGGAGCCAGTTGAGTTGGGAAATTTTTTTTTTTTTTTTTTTTTACAGTTGATGTTGATATCACTCTAATAGTACTCATTACAGCAGAGTCCTGCTCTCGGTACCCACCCATGAACAGAAAGGCAGTGACCAAGAGGATTATTTCATGTTCTTAGTCCACAGTCTCTGCCCCTTGCAGAGACTGGCGTCAGCAGTGAAAAACACGGCAGCAGAGCCAGGCAGCCTGGATCTGAGCTCCGGCTCCACACTTACTGCTCATGCTACCCTGCAGGAGTCAGCTAATCTCTCAGCCTCAGTTCCCTCATTTGTAAATTATTTCCTACCTAATGAGAGTGTGGTGAGAAAGTGTTTTTAGAAGAGTCTGGCAAGGAACAGGCTTGCAGTGATTGTGAGTCATTCCGCCTTTTCCAACCAGCTGCAGGACTGGATGCAATTGCCTGCCCTGACGCCAGCAGACCCCTATGTATGTTACCCTCAGGAACTCAGCTTTTCTCTCTCCTTCTTAATAGCACAACGCTTCTTCCCTATGTTTCCAAGGGAAGTGATAGGCTGCAAATGAGCCTCTGGTGGGCTGGCGGACACCTCGGTCGGCTTCGCCATGGCCTCTGCTTGACCTGGGGAAGGACGGCTCATCGCAGGGTGGCACTGAAATTTGAGAACTGGAGCCTACCGTAGGTTATCTGTGCTGTGCACCTCTAGAGGAAGGGAGCCTGTGAAGAGGATAACTTGACCTCATAACACTTAAGGAAAACTGCCTCCTAGAAATCAAAGCTTAAGGAAACCATACCTCTCCATACTTGCCCCTTTGGCTCATGAGCACAGAGCTTGACCCACCTACCACAAGTTTGATAGAGTGTCATTTTCTATGAGTATTGCAATATTGACATTGGAGGTAGGGTCCAGGTGGCCCTGATAGTCGGCCTCAACCCACCCCATCCTTTTACCAGGTTCTTGACTCTGCCACAGGAAAGGGTTCAAGAGCAGAGTCACAGAAGAAAGTGAGAACAGGTTTAATGTAATGAATAACAGATACGTATTTCACCAAGTGGGGCCTAGCTCCAGAGACTGAGCAGGACCCACACTAAAGTTAATACACAAGAAATACATAAAGTTCAGTACGGAGTGCAGCAGGCTGGCTTAAGAGAGTGAGCAGCTGCTTGCTCAAAGTAGCTTGATACAGGAAGAAAGAAACACACACATCCAGGCAGAGGGCAGATTAGCTCTGAGAGTGATCATCAACAGCCCCTGCTGCTGGGACTCGGTATCTAATGAACGTTCAGTTAAGGGGGCGGTTCCCACTTGTGTAACGTAGTCTTGCATAGGCTTAGTTAGTCTCGGAGCGTGTTCATTGCTCAAATCCTATCACATGCACCAGGCATATTCAAGAACATTCTGTGCTCTCTAGCACCTCTAGTGGAAGGTCGTTCAGAGGGTAAACTCTACTGATCATGCCTGGCTACTAGGGTTATAAACCCCTCTCTACTGAGAAATCCAGCCACTGGATTTGCATAAGCCAGCCCCTTATGGTCTCATCTAGGTGTGGAAAATAGGTCTAATTTAGCAACAGTAACTTTTCTCTAGAGTAGAGCCTAGAGAAGGGGCCTGAAACCTTGGGAGATGGCTTGAAATACAGAGGCATTTCTATAACCCAAGCCGAGGGAAACTGAGCACCTCCTATCTCAATGTATGCATATATACACCTACATAAATATATATATATATATATACACACACACACACACACACACACACACATGTTCCTAAACTTTCCTGTGAAAGTTAAAGAGAAAGGAGTTTGTGCAGAAAGAAATCCTTCCTAATACCCTGTGCTCCTCGCCGAGTTAGAGAAAACCGCTCCCCTTCCTAGTGAGGATGCGGGCACCAGCAGCTTTCCAGGGGAGACGAGGAGTTTGCTCTGAGCCCTCTTACATTCGCTCCCTATCGCCTTTTACATCAGGGAAGGCTGTCGGGGATGCTGGTGCCAGTAAGTCAGCCATCTGTGGGAGGCTTCCATCTCATGCCTAGAACCTTCCATCTCATGCCCCACCCTGGCAGCACTGACAGCCAAGTACAAAATTAAATGTTGCTTGTCCTACTAAGATAGCACGCCCTTACCAGACCCATTGCCTCTTTTAAGATGAGTTGCTTTCCCCAAAGTGACTTTTCTTCCTTTCTAACAGATATCTGCAAACGAAATCGAAATGCTTTTGATGAGGCTGCCCCGCATGTTCAAACAGGAATTCACAGGTGTGGGAGCAACGCTGGAAAAAAGATGGAAGTTGTGTGCCTTTGAAGGAATTAAAACTACCTAACAGCAAAGAGCAAAAAAATCTCTGGAAACAAAATCGTCTGAACCTGGCCAGAGCTGTGCACCGTGGCAACAAGAGGTTCGGGCTTGGTCCCACTTGGGACCTTTGTGGAGCCTTCAAAGCCTGACTTTAGTTCCATCTGTGGCGTTCTCTTGTGAGTGGAAATGTAATTGTGTACCAGTTTCTTACAATAAGCAAAGCTTCATACTGTGACAGGTCTGTTTCCTATGAAAACCAACGATCCCACTGTCACACTGATGGCGAAATCTTAAACTCTGCTACATTTGAGAATAGCTCACCAAGCAAAGTATTTAAAGTTAACAGTGGTGTAGCAATGATTGTTGCTAGGCTACAGAGTTGTATATGTAATGTATAGCTGAAATCATTAAATGACATTTTCCCAAAAGTCTTGTTTTAGTAAAAATAATAATAATAATAATAATAATAATTTTACAGTGAGGAGAAATCATACCAAAAGAAAACTTGAATATGTGTCTGAACAGTTATTGTATTTTGTAAATTAAGTTATATGCTATTCCAGGGACTTTTGCCTTATTGAAGAGGCAGAAAATATGATTGGACTCCTTGAGAATGCTTTATCAAGAATATTATTTTTCTAATGTAACAGTTCTCCATCATAAGTTCTTTTAACATGGACTGCATAACAATTTTCATAAAATGTAAATAATGGAAAAACTAGTGCTACTGTCTTGTTCTTGGTATGTAACATTCAGGTTTATGCATCAAAATAAACATTCGGTAAATATTCCTGTTACAAATTTTATAGCAAAGATATTAATTTTTTTCAATAAATATGACTTCTACCATATTGGTTTTGAACATTATTATTCTTTGACGTATTTTAATTCTTTCTTGAGCAATATTTTTCTCGGAATTCAGGCCCATTCCATATTCTACCATTTAAAAATTGTTAAATACATAAGTGACATTAAGAGATAAAACATTATTTTAAATAAGAATATATAACAATTGTAGAGTAGAAAGTACCAAAAAAGAGATATTATACAGCATTAGAGTAGATACTGTCTTAAAATACTAAGATATAGCATCCAAACATAATCAACATAAATTTTACCTTTATGTCCTCATGGGCAGGTACAAAGGAGTCAATTAGTTAATCTTATTAATTCCTGGATTTATTTACGTGTATATTTGCTGGAAAATATACAAGTTAGAAAAGAAATTGAAGAATTCACACATGGAACAATGATTTAGATAGGATTTGGGTTTCCCCTCTTTCTTTTAATAACAAGTAAGATATAGCTTAAAATTGTGTCCCCTTCCTGCTTTTTTACATAAGAATCACAAAAAAAAAAAACAAGTATTCAAGATATTGATTAATTTCAAGGAAATATTTTTCAGGAAGACATCTGAACAGCAAATGTTCTTTGAAATCATGAAAAGATACTCACAATGTCCTGTTGGACGTTATTGTCCTCAACGTTCTTTTTATTGAGCCCAGAAAAGTTAAGGTACTTATTCAGAGCTCCCATATACATCTACACATGTGTTTCATCCAGGCTCAGTGCTAACTCTGTGAATATGGAGCTAAATAAAAAAAGACCCTCTCCTTAATGTGCTCAGAGTTTAGTGGGAAAAAGACATTTTCCCAAAAGTTCCTGTATGATGTGATTGGGGTGACGAGAGATACGACAAGGGTGCTATGGGATTCAAACTAAAGGGCAATATCATATTAAACACTAGAGGCTTTCCTTCACCATCTGTCAAAGCCCATCTCCACCTTCATCCTGGCAGATGTGTCCCTAAATCAGGAGGCATAAATCAGGACTCAACAGTCTGCAGGGAGAAGACATCATAACATAATATCATTTGTAGATGTTATTGTGAAATACAAAACCTAAGAGGTTCACCTGGAAAACAATGAGAAAAAAATATTTCAGTAAAGTGGCTAGTTATAAAGACATAACGTCTAGTAGGGACACGAGGGAAGGTACCACAACCCATGCTATTTCTAAATGAAAGCATGTGTTCAAATGTGCATTCATACTTCCAAGTGTCACCAGGAGTTACATCAGCAGAAGGATGCACTGCACAGGGAAAACCCTAACTCAGGGATCTGTACTCACACAAGGCTGTTGTATGCTTGGGAAGAGGAATTAAAGGGACCTCATATTAGATCTGACAAGCAGATACCATTTTCTAAACACGTGGTCCTGAGCCCTAAATGGCAATTCAGAGAAATGAAATGGTTGATTCTGTTTCCAGAAATACTTGAGTAGTTCCTGGAAATAAGTTTCTGCCCCAGGAGAATCTATTTTGTCTGTGATATTTTTACTTATACTTGAAATTACTATTACTTGTCAAGAAATATATTAATTATCTATTTTAACTTGAATTATGTAAATAACTTATTTTTGAAGGAGAGAAAAAAACCAGCTCTGAATTATCTCAAAGACTCTCAGGTTCAGATGGGACTTTAGAGGTCACCTGGGGGAGGAACTAACCTTGGTGCCTATGAGGGTGGTCTGAGGTCTACATATGTCTGTCACTCACGCTCTTTAATCATTCCGATAACCCTATGTGAAGATACCATTATTATCTCCATTTGTCACCCAAGGAGAATGACACTCAGAAGTTTCAAGTCATTTGGCCAAGTTTGCACAGTTAGTAAATTTTGAACCCAAACCTAACTGACTTCAAAGCATAATCTTCTCGCTGACCATGCTTCTAGTTCAGTCTGTTCCCACCCTACCCATGAGCCCAAGGTCCATCCAGTGTCTTTGGATCATTGCTTTTATTCTCCTTTACTCTCCACATCTCTTATGTGTGGGTAGAGGCGTGAAGGCTCTTTAGGCCTTTCTTAAATCTACCCAGTTACAGAACAAGGTTCCAAGAATAAGTGGAATGTTGAAGGTTTAGAGATCCTTTCGACCAGGCCCCTACGGTCCTTTCTGACTTACTCTTTCACTGCTTCCCTGAATAGTCCTGGTATTTTTGGCCTTTCTGCTTTTGTTCATCTTTCTAGCCAAATGAAATGGCCTTACATCTGGTGGTCCCAATTCCACACAGCCTTAGTAAGGAAAACGCGAAGACCCCCTACTCCATGAAGCGTCCCTGCACGCCCCAGCAGAAGTCACCTCTCCCACCTGTGCACGGCCATCCCACAGTGACTGTTTTTAAGGCACTACCACCCAGCTCCTCTTGCCTTAGCCTCCCGATTACAAACTCTTTGAGGGACCCAAGCACGTCTTATTTACTTTGAATTCTTTCTCAAAGTTTTGCTTAAATATTTAGAAATTAGGACAGAGAATGAACCAAGATGTTCTTCTGCCTCCAAGGACCAGTTTGCTTATAAATAAATGAGGGGAAAATATTACAAAATATTTGAAAAGGCTGTAAATTCCAAGGCACAAAATGTGAGTGATAATATACCAAATAATACTGAAATATGAAATAAGCAACCAAATTTCTGCTCAAACTTTAAAACCAGATCAATGATTAACTCCCCCCGTGAAGCCCTGATACCCTCAGGAACTCCTCACCTGCGTTCCCAGTACTATTCCTTATATTGCTACTTAAGCCCTTTTACTTTATTTTAATTATTTGTGAATGTGGCTGTCCTAGTCCTGCAGGTAGGAAACCTCTCTTATCCTTCTAGTCCCTCAGAGTCTGAAATAACATTTCAAGACTCTTAAATAAATATTTATCAGATGAATGAACCTAATGAATGAAAGAAAAGCCTGCACAGAAGCTTTCTGAAGTAGTAGAATCAGAACATATTTGGGTTTTAGATCCAGTAATAGAGGGTGGAACATTCCGCCCCTCAGATGAAATATCTTGGCAGAACTCAAATTTATTGGGGGGGGGTGATATTTTTTATACTTTTATTGTGGTAAAATATATATAACATTAGTTACCATACCCCTCAGATGAAATATCTTGGCAGAACTCAAATTTATTGGGGGGGGGGTGATATTTTTTATACTTTTATTGTGGTAAAATATATATAACATTAGTTACCATTTAACCATTCATAAGTGTACAATTCAGTGACATTAAGTACATTTACAGTGTTATGTAACGCTATCTATACCCCCCAATTTTTCATCATCCCCAACAAAACCTGTACCCTTCATACAATAATTCCCAGCACTCCATCCCCCCTCCCAGCTCCTGGTAACTTCTCTTCCATTTTTCATCTCTGTGAATTTGCCTGTTCTAGTTATGTAAGTGGAATCATACGGCATTTATCCTTGTGTCTGGCTTCTTTCACTTAACATAACGCCTTCAAGTTTCATTCATATTATAACATGCATCAGAATTTCATTCCTTTTTAAGACTAAAAAATATTTCATTGTACGAGAACTCTTCTGGCTGGCTTTGGTATCCTTTACCTATTGCAGCAAGGAAACGTTATTGATCTGTGTTTGAAAATACTTAAATACCACATCAAAAATAACATTTGAAAGTATAGAGAAGCTTGTTTCTACCTGGATAAACTTCTCATTTTCATTGAGGGTAATAAAAATGAATTGACAAAAGTAGAAAAAGTTAGTAGTCATTGCGTAGAAAATGAGACTGATTAAGCAAATATCCATGCAACAAAATATGATATGCAGTAAGTTGTTTTTTCTTGGTAAGGACTGGGATGTTTTACTTTCAGGTTGGTTTTGATGGTGGGGGGAGAGTTGGGGGGTTGTATTCCTTTTCTAAATGTGGCTGCTGTGTTTATTTGTTGGTGCAATAAAAGATGTTTTATCCTCAAAATATAAGGACTCTTTTACCATGATACTCATAGTTTTTTCTCATAAACTAGTAAATAAAGAGACATCATATTCCTAAAATCTTACAGATTGGTTTATTTTATATCAAAATGTTAAAGGCTTCACGTGTATATTCAGTCTGTCATTTGCAGCTGAATAAACTAACTTTTATGTGTAGCACACCAAACATGAACATTTCAGAGTTAAACATTATAGTGAATGTATTTATACATTAGATCACCAAAAATATTGTGTCTCTATTCCACCACCTCCAGGTTTCCTCTTCGGCTTTCAAATGGGTTTTTCCATTCCCAGGCTTGAACCATTTGGAAATTTCTTACACTGTGTAGAAGAGCATTTACAGTGTGCTGGAGTCAAGTCCCAGCCCCAACATTCACCAACCTTGTGACTATGGCACGTTAGTTAACCACACCGAGGTTCTAGTCCCAGATTTATAATATGGAAGGTTAGTGCCTACTTCATGGGGTTATTGTGATGATTAAAAAAGACAGCACGTGTAAAGCACCCAACGCAGAGCCAGGCAGACCAAAGGCATTTGTCTCTTCAAAAATAGTACTTTAGCTATGTCGCCCCCAGCAAAGCAGGCAAGCCCTTTCCCTGCTATCAGCCTATTCCTGTCCTGACTATTGATAAACAGTCAATAATGTTTTTAAATGTAAGAATAAAATAAGACAATCATAATTTCCACAAATAGTCCATTAAACACATTCAAGCGTAAGACTGACATAAGCAAGATCGTTGTCACTCTCTAACCTGCAAAGACTTTCGCAACTTCTACAGACAAATCAGCAGTCATTGTCACAGTTCCCTCATCACGGAGAAAATGAAGAGTCTGGATTTTTGCTATAGCTCCCTCTTTACTTACATGGTATATTTCCAATAAACAGTAATTAAGGTCAAATACATTCAACTGTGAAGAAACTACATGGCTCTGGGCGACTGCCATTTTGAATGATGGTCAACTAGGTATACAGTATGTGAAGATTAAAAGAAGTATTAATTATGGTTTTTTAACCCAGCAGAGACATTGTCAGGAAAAGTTATAGTTGCAGCTGGAGCATGC